TCCTCTTTGCCTCAGACTTTATGGGTAAGGTCTGCTCTCAGGCCTCCCCAGTCTCTTCTCCCCTCAGTGTAATCTCAGCAAGCCAGGGAAATGGGCTGACAAAAACCCCAAGAAATTCAAAGGCAAAGCCTTGAAACTGAGATGGAATACCCACACGCATCAGGATAGGCTGAGGACTGACTTTTGGGTATCAGCTCTGAAGAAAAGGATGTAAGGATCCTGGTGGACAATAAATTGAAGATGGCATTACAAAACACACACTCCCCAGCAACGTGGGAGGTTAGGATGAAGAAAAAGAAATGTCATTTTGATATTCACATTGCCTACTTTTTCACAGCTAACATCAATGCCTTGTTCAGAAGCTTAGGCAGCTGTGCAGGCAGTAAGACTTCCCAAAGACTAACTGTCAGGGACAGTTAACTATTGAAAAGATACTTGTATAGATGTGCAAAGCTGTCAAGACAGTAGCCAAGGTATGAAGGACATCCAATTATTACTTGTCCCTAGACTTCTAGATGCATTTCCCTGCTTTCAAGGTACAACCATACCACATGTGAGCAAACAAATTCAAATTTTCTTTCTAGAGCTTCCATTTTCATTTACTTACTCTTTATCGTACAAAGTAACAACCTTTAACAGTTTAGATGATCATGAGCTACAGGCAATACAGGTATGATCACAGATAGATGCACAGATACTAAATGTCACATAATCAAGATTATATTGGCATTTCTGGTATCTGGGTAGTAGAAGATTGAAATATTGGTTATCATTACTCACACCACAACTTCTCTTCCTATTTATCTGTCATAATTACCTATCTAATTTGAAGCCATGTTTAGCCAAATGTTCTAGAAGCTAGACATGACAGACATGCTAGGAAACAAGCAGCACACATAAGCAATCTTATTTATTTATTTATTTTTAAGTCAAGGATGAGCACTCTGGTTCATTACTCAAGTCACCAAGACAACATTCAACACAAGGAAGTGACAAAATTGGGTCTGGAAAATATATCTGATTACACATATAAAGCTTTGTTTGCAACAGGTAAGCTGACAAATTTTGTGTCCTGCTTTCGGCTGGGACAGAGTTAATTTTCTTCCTTAGTAGCTGGTACAGTGCTGTGTTTTGGATTTAGTACGAGAAGAATGTTGATAACACACTAGCAGTTTAGTTGTTGTTGGGTAGTGCTTAGAGTAGCCAAAGACTTCTCAGCTCTGCCAGGGACACGAGAAGCTAGGAGGGGGCACAGCCAGGACAGCTGACCCCAACTGGCCCCAGGGCTAATCCAGACCACATGATGTCATGCTCAGTATAGAAACTGGGGGAAGAAGAAGGAAGGGGGGGACATTTGGAGTGATGGCGTTTGTCTTCCCAAGTCACCATTACATGTGATGGAGTCCTGCTTTCCTGGGGATGGCTGAGCACCTGCCTGCCCATGGGAAGTGAGGAATTAATTCCTTGCTCTGCTTGCATGTGTGGCTTTTGCTTTTCCTATTAACCTGTCTGTATCTCAACTCATGAGTTTTCTCACTTTTACTCTTCTGATTCTCTCCCCCATCCCATTGTGGGTGGAGTGAGCAGGTGGCTGTGTGGTGCTTATTTGCCAGCCGGGGTTAAATCATGACACATGACATGCCTTTTTAAAATACGAGTAGTGTTATAACCTTCCTGTCATTACACTAATAAATGCACAGATTAAACAGCAACAATTCCTTGCTGCTGCAGCAATTATCTTCGAACACAAGGAGGTGATGTTACCTGTCCCACAAGCTAAAGGAACAGTAGGAACCTTTTCTGTGCTGACTGATTCCTCCCTACCCCAGTGCTTGGCAGCAAGCAGCGATGCTGCCAGTTTCTGTTCTGACTGGCTCTCCTAGGATAAATAGCATTTGAATGCAGTACAGGAAACACTACAGAGTAATCAAAAGGAATATTCGTTTTCAGACAAACAATCCGCTCACACTGGCTTCTTCTGTAAGTGCCTATCTCATGAGCAAGGGAAATTCCTGGGCCACAGGATGCTGGAGCTGCATGTGTCTGAGGGGCTTAGCTGGATACAAGTGATCTAGCATACTGTGAACAGAAAGGAGTGGGCTACAGAAAGGAAAGCTGAGCAGACAAGCTGCAGGCATCACAGTTCTTACTGAGACAATAAAAGCATGGTCTAAAGTTCAAAGTATCTGAACTGTGTGTCTCATTAGGTGGTGTTAACAGAGAGAGTCTCTTCAAAATGCACAGGGATACATCTGCCCCACTGCAAGATACCGAAGCATTACTTAGGCAGATGCTGAGAACAGCTGGGTGAGGAGGAACAGCAGTGCAGAGGCAAGTACATTGCATGCAGGACTGGCTTCACAAGACAAGAGCAGACTCACTGCTAGAACGGTCTATAATGCCTTGGTAGCTTTCCCCGAGTTCATTATCACACCCTATTCACTCACATGCAGTAAGAAAAGCTGCAGGTGCCAGGTTACAAGAGGTTTGGGCCAAAGATGACTTTTTCAGGCCTCTATCAAGAAGCCCAGCATCCTCATCTGTTTTCTTTCAAAAGTTATTCTTAGTACCATATTTTAAGATCCGGGAGGTAGGAACACTTGCAGTTGATACATGCATGAGATTCAGCACTAAACTAAGATCTATCATTTCTAACTCTAGCAGCACTCCTTGACACTACAGAGGAAAGAAATAAAGCTAATTAAGTTTGTGAATCCCAGCTCTAGAATATTATTGCTGAACTGTTGCATGCATTCAACCAGCTGGCATTGGTTAGTCAAATCTTTAAAAAGCAACAGATGAGTAGTAGAACAGCCTGAGTGAGCCTATTTCAGGGAAAAGGAGTAGCAGCAACAACAACAAAACCTCGAGTGCCAGCACAGCAGACAACTGTTTCAAAGAGCAGTGAGACAGACGACTGCTAAGGAAAAACAGTAATGAATTTGGAAGAACAGGAACTTAGCTTCCATAAACCTCTGAAATCCAAATTTAAAAACTCACGTGGAAAGAACGGGTTTTAGAAGAATAGATGCAGATATGCTAGAGTATTACTTACACGGCCTAGAAATGGGACACACGCTTTCATTACTCCCCTCCCTCTTCCTGGAAGCTATCTTCTGCTAGACCAAGAGCCTGGTAGCAAATACACTTGAGATACTACTTATTTTTACAAGGTTCATGAAAACAGTATCAGACTTACAGCTTGTCCATTTGCTTCATAAAGTGGGCATTTTTGTTTGATCTTAGCCAATTCCATATTCACTTGTTTACTGACCACAGCCATGGGATTTCCTCCTGGAAAACATTTTGTGTAGTTAGCAGAGAACTCCTGCAAAGTTTGTCTGCAATTAAGTATAAATTCCACAGTTAAAGCTATTTCAGAGACTAAACACATCAACTCCAGTGCAAAATGCATTCCAGTGAATTACTATAACGGTGCCAAAGGTCTACTCTTCACAATATTTGCAACCCAGTCATGAAAATAGAAACCCAAACCTGCCCACCAACAGTTAGAAGATGGTATGTGAAAAAGGCTGATTATAAAAGCAGAGTCCTAGGGTGGCAGCAACCTTAGTATGATTGAGAGTTTATAGTTAGAAACATATCTTCAAGACGTTTGCAAGCAGGGTGTTTGAAAAGCCAAGGAAAGCTCCCACAGCTGCACAGTAACTTCAGAAGCTTTTCAAAGTGTGGTGACATGAAGATGGAACCCAAAGAATTCGGTCCCTAAAAACTTAGTGGAACTCCGACAAGTGACACTAGTGAATACAGTCTACAAAGATCAATCATGCACACCAGCTGTACCTGGAAGATGTGGAACTAAACAGATTAGAAAGCAATCCAGGAGACTCCACATAGAAACATGACAAAGGCAGAAAGCATCAACTTTAAGCGTACAGAATCTCTAAACATCAAAGCCTCTCTAAGTACAGCAGAGGAAAGGATAAGAATAGACACAAACGGGAAATGGCATACAGGAGAGACAACATGGATTTCCTCCACAAAATTAACTTTGGGGAAAAGTTTTTCAGATCTAGCTTCCCAATGTTCTCTGATTCTGCAATCCAATCAAAGCCAGAGCCTTAGTTCAGAATAGAGGGGGAATTTCAGTCACCCTAATACCCTTGTCTTTAGAGGTAACTGAACAAGCAGAACAGAGCTTTGAAGTAGGTCTAAATAAGTTCATGTTTCAAGTTCAACAACCTAGTAAAGATTTTAGTTCTTCCATGGTTTACTAAGTGTATTTGGTTTCTGTGGCAAGGTCTTGGTAGTGGGGGGGGCTACAGGGGTGGCTTCTGTGAGAAGCTGCTATAAGCTTTCCCTGTATCTGCCACTGGCCAAGGCCAAGCCAATCAGTGACAGTGGAAGCGCCTCTGTGATTACATATTTAAGAAGGAAAAAAAAAAACAGCTGGGGGCAC